AATAAAGTAAAAAATTGCCTAACAAATTTGATTATTTCGTAATTCAATTCTTTATGGGCACTTTAAATTAGATTTCCGATTGTAATAAATTCAATAATGTAAAAAATTACTTAAACATATAATATCAAAATTAATTTTCACATTTAAAAATGAAAAAAAAAATTAACTGATTAATTAAGAAACACTTCTTTATATATTCTTTTCAGTAATAGATTACGTTCAGAACAAGGTAACGACGGCGATCACAAAGTCAGTCCCACTGAAAATAATCTACAAGAAACGATATCAAGTCGTGACAAAGAAAAAGAAAAAAACTATTAGGTGCGAAAACGAACATGCGAGATCACTATATATATTCTCAAAACTATGGTTCTGATTCTACCGCTCATTAATCAAGGCCATTTCAACATAACGAAACGAACATCGTCTTCCACAGCGCGAGTCGGTATCAGTTGCAAGAAGATCCTTGCGCGTTTTATATCGATACATCGTTTTGCGCTCGTCGTCTTTAGTCTACGGCTTAAATCAGATTTCTGATGCATCGCCTGCAACGAAAGTTGTGAACTTGCCGATATATGCGTTAAATCGATAAGTCGCGATACATCGATTTATAGCCCAGTCCTATGTGGCACCGTAAACTAGGGTATTTCTCAGTCTATTGGCAACACTATTATCAGTACTCATTTTGTGGGTAAAAATTTAAGTTGCGCTAAAAATTAGTTATACGTTAAGTATTTATTTAGATCCATTTTGTTAAGTCGTCTTAATAATGTAAGTAGTGTTAAATATTTAGATGTGCGGTAAGTATTTATTTGGAATAATTTCGTATCTTGATAGAAAAGAACTTACTTACGAAGTAATTATGTCTGCTTATTTTTGATCTTTTCTAAAATGGCTGTCGAAATTTTATTCATAAACGGTGCAATGGTGCCGCATACTGTCATACCACTTATTGGTGACAGAGCTTGGCTTTTTCAAAGAATCGCATATATATTATATGATACTCAAGCTATAGCTCGAGAGGTGCGTGAGGAAGTAGTAAAGCACGCGATCTAGCATTGAAATGAGTTTTTTTAATCGTATCTCACGATAGTGATGAAAATCATTTTAATACTTCTACTGCCTACTATGCCGAAATGTTCCAAACTCATACTTACAGAGTTTTTGTGCTTTAATGGCTGCTGGACAGATTTTAAATTATTACTAAAGCTCAATACATAAAGAATTTTGACATTAATTCGGACGTCTCTTGAAAATAGTTAAATAGAAATCAATGTACTTCCACGTAGAAGACCGCTTGAGGGTGAGAAAATTTGGTTAGTACACTGTTTTAAACAAATTAAAGTGTTAGAATTGGATAAGAGGTTGAAAAATTAAAATATTTAAATGCAGTTGTGCTATGAATTCGGCTTGCTTACAATTAAAGTTTATACAAGGTCTGGCTATTAATTTCCAGTTCAGTCCTGGAAATTAATAGCCGGACCTCGTATGTTGTAAAAGATAATTTTGAAAGGTGACAGAGATGTCTGGTATTATCATTAATATTTTATTGTCTTAATGAGAATTAGATTTTGTGCAACAATGCTTGCTTATGCATGTATGTTGTAAAATATTTTTTGTGATTTCATAGTTTTTAATTTCAAAATCTATGTATCTTGCAACTTTTTAGCTTTTCCCATAATAAATCTACTCTATTTCAAATTAATTTATTACTTTTAAATACTATTTATATAAAAATTTAACTTGCATGTAAAATCTTACCGAAACATTCAAAATTAAGATTAAAAGTCCGGAATCCATGTAATTTATTTTCTGTTTCATTGTAATTCCTTGCTTTTTTCTAAATTAATAATTTTTAAAATTTGTTTACAGGAAACAAGTCTTCTTAGCGATTCTTAACCAAAGGATCTAAAAAAAGTTTTCTGTACTAACAGATTTGGTTTCACAAATTAAATTCCTGATTCTATTGAGATAAAATTTAAATCTTATTATTTTGCCGATTGCCATTGCAATATTTTCCACAAATTTGCTCTTTTCGTTTGTATTTAGTTACTGGTTACTATAAAAACTTGCTGAATATTTTTTCCCGATGAAGGTATTTAGCGATAGCGTGTCAGTTATTTACTAATATTACTTTTCAATTTAAAATGCTTGCATATTTATTATTTTAATTGAAAATAGCGTTTTTCCTAAAATTATTATGAAAAAAAAATCCAATCATGAACTGTGAAATGGTAATTAAATAAGTAAGATATAATTAAACGATAGAGGCACTAAATAAAGTAAATAAATAAAGTATATTAAAAACCTTCATAACTTTTAATAATTTTAAGTTGATAATTATATCGTGTGATTATTACGTCAAGTGAGAATACAATACTGAAAATGGGTAGATGGAGATTATCTTTTTATGAGGTATGGAATATGTAACAGGTTTCATTAATAATTTTGACGAAATTTTTTTCCCTGTATTTTTTTAAATATTTTTTTTTGTCATATAGAAAATAAAAAAAAATACAACACTAAAAAGGAGAGAGGATAAGGTTAGAAAAATTTAATAAATAAATAAATGAATAAAATAAAACTAAGGCTGAAACTGCATGAAAGATATCGAAAATGCGAGCGTGTAACAAAAAATTCCTTTGAACGAAAAAATCGTCTGGCTTCGTTATAGCCTATGAATTACAACACTTTTTATTCTTTAAAACTTTTTGTATTATTGTATATTATATATCTTATATCTGCTCTAAATTTTGTCCTCAGCATGTGTGTGTTTTTATTAAAGTATAATGGTTGAAGAAAAGATTATATCTTTTTTTTCCTCCGGTTTTTCAAATAAAATTTAATCCTTTTTTTCTTTTAAACTGTTGTTTGTTATTCTTTTACTTATTACTTCCCCCCTTTTTTTCATATGTCTATTATTTTTCTTTGTTTTATTCTTCATTTTGAACTTATACATATATATATATATATACACACACATATATATTCATTCTTTAAACCTTTAATAATTTTTCAGGAACTGCTGCTGGTATTTTGAGTGGATTTACGCCTTTAGCAATTAGAACTGGTTTGTCAAAAATTGCTGATAAAGAGGAAATAGGTTAGAATTCTATTTAGTTTGTTATAATTAAAGGTTGGAATTTCAAGTAATCATTTTTAGATGATAAATTATTAGGAATTATGAAAGTTGAAAAAGAAGAAGTTTAATATTGTATCACATTTTAGCTTACTACGTTTTCCATACTCTGATTTTAATTCCAATTTTTTTAAAATTTAAAGTTCAGATTTAAATACAGCATTAATAAAGATAAAATTAATAAATTTGGTTTTTGTTTGTCATTTTTTTTACAACTCTTTTGCATTTATGATGCTTGTCATAATCTAAAGATTATATTTAATTTGATAATTAGTAACTGTTGCAATGACAAAAATTATTTATAGCATGAATAAAAAAATGATTGATATTTCAGTCATAAATGTTTTTTCTTTGTATTGCTAAGCTTTTATCGAAATTATTTTTAAATTTTCACTTTTAATTATCTTGTAACTATTTTCTTTAACCATTTGTTAACACATTTTAAATACTTTGCCACTTTGGAAAAAGTGCGAAATGATAGTATTATATATAGCTCATTGTACCAACATATTGTAGTTTTAGATTGCTTACGAATTTTAAAATAAGTACTAGGTAAAGGCTAAAATATTTATGGAGGTACCTTACTAGCAGTAACTTTTCAGTCATGAACTTTCAAAGCTTTAACTGTAATAAAAATACAATTTCAGACTGTATATTAGTTATTTTTTCTCAGCACCATTACTTTTTAAGCTTTTTCGACGCTGTAAAGTTTAAAATATAATCATAATAAACTATGGCGTAAGAATATCTGAGCATATAATGTTCTAAACAGTAAGAAAGATTGATGATGCTCTGAGGTTAGCGGCATCAGTTTAGAAAATATTAAAAACTTTAAGTTTTAGAATTTTTATATTAAACTTCCTTTTTTATTTCTAATAAAAATAATTTCACCTTGCACTTACTGAAAAGCATTTACTATAAGGTATGTTCATGGTTTCTGAATCTTATTTTAACTTGAACTTCAATATAGGATTGATATTTTCCTTCTTGGCAACTTGCGAACAAGTGTTTCCAATGGTCGGATCAGCTTTAGTGACAAATGTGTTTAATGCAACTATTGATGTCTACCCTAGTGTTACCTACTTAATAGCTTCAGCATTTTTACTTATACCTTTGTTTACTTTTGTGTGAGTATTTATATTTAGACTTTATTTATATTTAGATATTGATATATTTAAAAGCAAAATCACTTCAAAATTTGGAATAAATATTCAATACATATATATATAAGTTAATTTGAATTCGCTACTTGCTTTATAGATTTCGTTGTATGTTTTATTCTATTTTTTTCTTTATATTTCATTTTCTGATTTTACGTGATATTTTTACTTAAAGTGTTCTATTTTATTTGTTGTAAATTTTATATAAAAAATTTTTTTGAGTACTCCTCACACTATTGTATTGATATATTTTACTTTGGCTATATTGATACAAAATTAGAAAGCACACTTTCTTCTGAATATAGTTGTGTGAGCTGATGAAAAGATTATATCTTTTATTTCCCTTATTTTTATTAATTTAATTCCTTTTTTTCGGATTTTTTGATATATATAACATTTAAAATAAATTTAATGAAAATGTAATTTATTATTTTCATAGGTGGATATACGGGAAATCGAAGTACAACTTTACCGAAGTGAATATACCGGCTTAAAGATGTGTAACTTATACAATGGAAGAGATTTTTGAATGGTTTTGCATTGCAGATCAATCAGAGTCATGCTATCGTAAAAATTCTTGCACCGAATTCATGAACATCATATTCGTTAGACGTCAATGTCATTCATTATTTCATTAACTAGCTGTACTAATTCATTTTGTGATATTTTATTTGCCAATTTAGAGATACTGTAAGTTGAAAATATGGACACCTCAAAGGCTGAACGAGATCATCACTCTGAAATTCAGACGATTTTGTTAAGGATAATATGTAACTAAAACAGCTGCCATGTAATTCAGTGCAACAAATTAGATTACTCTTTAATATTTTCCCTTCTTGATAGTTATGTTGCTATTTCCTGTAGTACTTTTCAGAAGGTGACATTTAGTGCGTTATTTCGCATTAATGGTTTCAGATGTGTTGATCCTTTCAGTTGTCTTATGAGGTAATAACTTATTTTGTTTCACCTTAAATTATTTTCCTTCAAGCACTTTAATATATAAAAAAATTTAATAAATAATTATTTTAATAATTAAGTATTTT